CATTACAAAAAAATAATCTTCCATTATCAATCTATACTTCAAATCTAGCTCAATATCTCGATATTATCGAATTGCAAGCCTATCAATTAGACACAAGAATTGTGTTTGTCTTAAATATTCCTTTAACTGATGCAGAACAATATACTTTATATCGTATCTATCCAATACCAATACTGGATAATCGAACAGGTCTTCATTCAATATTAACAACAACAAATAAATACATTGCGCGAAATGATGATTCATTGTTATACCTTACAATAAATAGCCTTGAGTCATGCAAAACTTTGAGAGCTCGAACCAAGATCTGTTACAACACACTTCCATACCCAATCGACAGCGATGCCATATGCGAAGCCCAACTCCTAAAACGACAAGAACGCCTTCCCAGAACATGCCAGACTTCCGTAGTATTTGCCAAAGATTACAACGTCCAGAAGATCAACATAAACCTGTGGCTCATAACAGTTTCTGACCCACTGCCTATTACCATCAAATGCGAATCCAGAGACGTCAAATCAGAGATTATTTGCACAAACCATGTACTCAAACTACAACCCACGTGCGATGCCTTTATTGGTAGTACAAGAGTACACTCTCAGAAATTAATCGACGTTCATGACAATGTCACTTACAGAAGTCACCCAGTCCAAATACCATTCAATTGCTGCAAACACTTCCCAGATAAAATCCATCTTCCCGACTTAAAACCACTGAAGCTTAGCAAGATCAATACTGAAGACCTCGAGATAGCCCATCACAAACTCAATCAGTATTCTGAAGAACTCGATAAACTAATCAATGAACCGTTTGTCAACAAACATCTGAGCTGGTTCACCATTTTTACCATAGTTGTCATTGTAACTCTTGTTGTTCTTTATGTTATATGTAAATGCAGATCCAAGAGAAGATACAGGATAGGAATTGGCAATACCAATGACAATGACCATCCGCCCTCTCCACCAAGACACCCAGAGACAGCCTTCACCCGGAATTGGAGAAAAATCCTTCCAAGACGAAGACCCAGTATTCACCTAAGCGACGCCATAGACGAAGAAGAGCAGATCCAACTTAACACCAATAAACAGACAGTCTAAAAGTTGCTGCCACGCATCAACTTTCATCTAAAAGGGGGAGCTGTTATATGCATTGTACCAACCGATGTTCCTTATCACGACGATTCCCAGGGTATCAGGTTCCACTTCCAACAACCTGAGCCGATAAGGATCCTTGCAAATGCAGTACCAGCAGAGTCAGCGGGACCCAAGCTTTTTACTCGTTCCCACTGAGTCAGCATTTAGTAATATTATAAAACCGCTTGTCGCTCTTAATTCAGCATTCAGTATATTTTTGTAGTTCATTCATTATATTTTATATTTTATTCATTTTTACCACGTAACTTGTATTTTGTAATAAATAAATTTTTTAAAAAGTCGAAAAAGTGTTTCGTGATATAAAATATATATATAATAAAATGGAACAAAAATTATAAAAAACATACAATAAAGAATAATGTTGAATAATACTAGAATATATTTTATGATATAGATATATCTATTTAAATGTGTAATAATGTATGATTGTAACTGAAGATTAAATTATCAATTTGTTGTTATAGAATCTAGGTATATCTTTAAAATACAAAATATTATCTTAATAGTAATATGTGACATAAATATCTTTAGAGCAAAAATAAGTTCGGCTAATGGATTAAGTCCACAGTCAGGAAATGATGACACACCACACACAAAGCTAACTGTGAGAAGGCTAATAAATAATGTCATTGAGGCAACAATTATCAAGGAAAAATACACAGGAGAAAAATACAATAAACAAATAGCAAAACCAACTATGGAAAGTTTGTTTAGGAAAAACATTAAATTGATTCAACTTTTTTTATACATAATATTTTTGAGTATTTTCTTTTCGGTTTTATGTTAATTTTGGCTATTTAAAGACACTTTAAAACAACATTTAATTCTAAGGCGGTACGAAGTTCGTTAGGTCATCTAATATTGTATAAATCTATAAAAACGTTGATAGATTATACACGAAATGCGATGGCCAGAGTCAGGATCATGTAAAAAGGACGGAAGTGTATTCTATTATTCCGGTAACAGCACAGAAGACCTGCATCACAAAAATGGTGTAGGTATATTAGTAATATCAGAACTGAGTAAATATGTGACCATTTTTGTACCAGTCTCGAATATAATTATATTACTCCAAATAAATACTCAACCATTTAAAACTAACATACTGTAAATGTATGCCCCGACTGCAGATAGAAAATATGATGATGAAGTCGAGAAGTTGTATGATCAGATCCAAGACATCTTACAGAAACTTATTAAACACGAAATTTTATTATGGACAACTTCAATGCAAAAAATAGGAAAGGTGTATGAGGTCAAACTGTAGGTCTTTATGGTCTAGGACAACCTAACGATTGAGGGCAGAGATTGTATGAATTTTGTAAAGAAAACGATATTATCATTGCAAACAATTGGTATAAAGTACCTAAACGACGACTAAGCACTTGGAAAGCCCCATTTGATGATGGCAATAACCCTGAGTCTTCAAAAAATCAAATAGACTATATACTTGTAAATGAGCGGTTCCGAAATGCCGTCAAAAAAGTCACTACATATTCTGGGGGAGATATTGGATCTGATCATCAACCACTTGTAGCAGATATTTAACTAAGGTTAAAATAAATTTAGCGACAAAAACCAAAAACCAAGGAACTTAACTTTGACGATAGTAACATAAAACATAACATTAAAAAAGAATTTACTAATAGAATAAAAAACATCGAAAAACAACTAAAAGATCCAGAAGAACTATGGAGTGAATTTAAAAATAAAGTTAACGAAATCTCCACAAACAATGATTATAGAAAAAACTTAATCAAGAAAAATAAACTGATGACACACGACATCTTGAAATTCTCTGCAGAGAAGAATAAAAAAGGAGATCAAATTTGCCAAAGAAAAATGGATGAGAGAAAGGTGGGATGAAATGGAGGATGTAATATCTAAACACGACTTATTTATTGTGCAAAAAAACTAAAAGAAATGAGTAACATATTTAAAAAACGAGTTTCCTTTATACTCGCTGGCAATAATAACAAAATTATGGTAAATGAGGATGAAATAAGAAAAGAATGGCAGCTGTATATATCAGAGGTGTTTGAAAATGACAGTAATAATATTGACGAATTTTACCAAAACTGTACTGACAGCCCAGAAATTATGAAATGCGAGGAAGAACACGCTATAATAATGCTAAAATTAGAAAAGCCTGTGGTCCAGATGATACACCAACGAAGTTGCTGAGACTAATAGAGAATGACATATCATCAATAAACAATATATAACACTGAAGCTATTCCCGCAGATTGGCTCAAATCCATCTTTGTCGCAACACCTAAAAAACACAATGTGAGAAAATGCTCAGAATATCGATTAATTAGCCTAATGAGCCACACTCTTAAAATTTTCCCCAGAATACTTCACAACAGCAATGCTATGGAAACCAGGGAGACACTTTTTGCGCTTAAAATCCTACTACAAAAATGCCGTTACCAAAGAAAATATGTATTTGCATGTTTCGTGGACTTCAAAAAGGCATTCGATAAAGTACAGCATGTAAAATTAATGCAAATACAGCAAATATCGGAATAGATGACAAGGATATTTGTATCATTAAAAATTCGTACTGGAATTAAACTGCTATCGTAAAAATTGAATATAACTGCACCGATGAAATCTCTATACAACTAGGAGTCAGACAAGATTGCATTTTGTCGCCAACATTGTTTAATGTTTACTCGGACCAGTTATTTAAAAAGGTACTTAAGAGACAACCATATGGAATAAAAATCAACGGGGAACTACTTAATGTGATTAGATGCAGACGATACAGTAATTCTGTCAGATAATATTCTTCAAATTCTGCCTAAACGTATTTAGGAGGTAGTAGAGGAAATTGGCATTAAAATAAACTTAAACAAAACCAAATTTTTAGTGTTTAGTCGTGATCCACATCCCGATGCAAAGCTTCAATTAAACGGAGTCCAAGTTGAGAAAGTTCACAAAATGACATATTTGGGAACTGTAATAACGGACCAACTAGATCCAGACATAGAAATGAAACGTAAAATGGCAATGACTGAAACTATGTTTATGAAAATGAAGTCATTTCTTTGCAATAACAATCCCAGTTTAGAACTAAGGCAAATAATGGTTAAGTGCTATGCTTGGTACTTTTGTATAGTGCAGAAATGTGGATGCTATAAGTATTGATCATAAACAAAATTGAAGCATCGGAAATGTGAGTTCATAGACGAATGCTGAAGATACCTTGGACGGCAAGGAAAACTAATGAAGAAGTACTAAGGAGCGTCAACAAAGATAGAGAACTGCTAAAGACTGTTACACATTGAATGTCTTATCTGGGACATAGAGTAAAGAGAAGTCGATATAAAATATTACAACTGATCCTTAAAGGCAAAATAGAGGGCCGTAGAGGTGTAGGAAGAAAACAAGTTTCTTGGTTAAAAAACATTCGTGAATGGACTCAGATACCAAATGTAGAATAATTATTCTATATTGCAGAAGATCGAGAAGCCTTCACAATGTCAATCGCCAACGTCGGATAATTCTGATATAACACGAGAAGAAGAAGATTATACACAAATTTCATATACTTATCGTAATACGCCACTTGAGTTAAATCGCATTGTATTTACGTCGTTATTAATAAAAATAATGAATAAGAATTACATGTTTATTCCGTTGAAATTAAAATAATATGGTTAATTTTAAATTATATCAAAAACAATCTAATAAATTTGTCTGAATTCTTTCTTAATAAACCTTTTGGTAAAAAAATTTATCAGACAATAAAGTTAAGTGATTGTTTTTTTTTTAGTAAATACAATACACACTTCACACAACTTTATCAATGTATATAAGCAAAAAATAGTATTATATTTTAATCAGTATTATTTGTTTTATTACATTACAAGATGAAATTCGTAATTTTTGTAACTTTATTCGCCCTAGTTGGTATGTATCTAAATCTGAATAAATTTATTTCTTGATATTAAAAATCGAGTCAATACCTAAAATATTTATTTACGTATTTCCTAGGACTGGTTCAACCAACTTATATTCCTGAAGATGACAAGTAAGTTAAACGTATAAAGTATATTAAAAATGAGTTATGTTATAAGTAAAATATAAAAAGATATTTTATTCCGTCATTTTTCATGTCTACCAATGTGTAATGTTGGCTTTATTAATTCTATTTTTTTTAAGTTTAATCTTTGGTCGTACCAATTTTAATCTTCGTCGCATCAATGTTTCTAACTAGTATTTTCTAACTAGTATCTTATTCTACTTTTTTAGAACCTTTTTATAACTCAGCGACTACTGCTATTAGCCGATTATAATCTTGGCTTGGATCGTGCCCAAACCATATACCCTTTGTTTTGTTTCACAGTTATTTCTTTTGCAATAAACCCATTGTAATAAAAACTACATCGTACTAAAGCCTACATATTTCATCCATTAATTAACTTTTTGAATGTCGTATTGTTGGTAATCTATCGTCTATCATGATCTATCATCTGGAAGGCTTGGATTGTTGAGCGTACTTACGTCTCGCGTCGTTGCGTCTCATGGTTTTTGGTTAGTTTTTTTTGGGTTCTAAGTTCTATTCTAGTATGTTTTTCACAAAGTAACTATAGAATTTACACATTACATCTAACAGAGGTAGGAGTAGAAATACGTTTGGGCCTAGTTCGGTTTTCCTTGGTTTTGAGATTAAGACTAGACGATAATAATTAGTAGTGCTATAAATCGTTCATTACTTTGTTAAATAATTGAGGTTCTGATCAAGATGTATATTTCAAATATTTATATATTAGATTTCGAATAAAATAGATAGATATCATTATCAATCTGGCTTTACAACCCTGTCTGGGTCCTAGTCTTCTTAATAATGTCTCTCGTCGTCTCTATTAATCGCCTTTCTCTGCTAAGCATATATTTCCACATTTCTCGTGTTTCTATGGAATGATATTATCAGGGAACCTTGTTTCAAGTCTTGTTTTTCTTCTCTGACCACTGGGTCTGTAGGCAGCTGTAAAACATCAGTGCAACTTTAGGATCAGCAGCTCATCTACGATTAGTGACACATGTAAGAATATTAATACCTTTTTCACACCTACGTTTATATATTCAACATGTTTTGACCATAAAAGTTTGGGGTCAAGAAGAATGCCAAGATATTTGTATTCTTTGACAATAGGTATATCATATCCAGACAACTTTATTTTGTCAGGCGTACGAATCCTATATCTAGTGAATATCATTGTGGCTGATTTGTCAGGGAAAATGGTCATTCCATGATTTCTTACACAGTTATTAACGTTTTGCATGATGAATTCCAGAGCCTCCAGGCAGTCAGTATACGAGTTACGCTCTGTATAGACGCATATGTCATCAGCATATTGGATGCAATTGATTGAATTGTCAAAAATGCCATGAAGAGTTGCTGAAAATATGTTAAACACTAACGGACTTACTTGTCGAAGACCTGTATGAGCAATTCTAGGACCGTGTAGTTGGTTTAAATGATCTTTAATATATATAACACGATTATTATAAAGATGAACAATATTAGTAGCTATATTTTGAGGTAATCCTATACCATATAGTTTTTTGTGTAATATGGTTAAATTAACAGAATCATATGTCCCTTTAAGGTCTAAAAACAAACAAGCAAAATAATTGTTTGTGGAAAACGTTATTTGAATGTCGGTAACTAAATGTGATATTGCATCCAGTGTACTAACACTAGCCCTAAATCTATATTGTGTACTTGGAAGGATACTATAATGTTTAATAAGCCATTCTAATTGAGTCTTAATAAGTTTTTTAAGTGTCTTGTATATGCAAGACATTAATAATATCGGTCTGTAAAAAGAAGAGAGTATTTTATCTTTATTAGGTTTAAGAAAAAAATAAATAACTTCTAATTTCTAATTTCTTTCATATTATCGACATATCTTCGATTGAAAAGCCAATCGTTGAAAATTGTTAGTAAACTTTGTTTAGCTATAAGAGGTAATTTATTATGGTATAAGTAATTTGATGGCGCCTCGGAGCCAAGGAATTTTAAGACTTAAGTGCAGTCTCAAATTCTTTCATATCAAAACTTTCCTGGAAAATATTGTATTTACAAGTTTTACTGTTATCCTGAATGGAAAGGTCAACATATGGCGCAAATTTGTCGAGCAACTCTTTTATTAGTTTATTTGACAGGGGATGCCGTCTTGTACGGTAATTTTTATTCACTAGTTTATTAACAAAATTCCAAATTTTACTGATGGGAGTATTTTTGTTTAAAGTTCTCACAAAGTTAATCCACGAACTTTTTTGTTTGCTTGTAAAGAGGAGTTTACTTTTGGCTTGAATTTGTTTGTATTTA